TTCCGTCGGATCTCTGCAGACAGCAGCACCAAGACAGCCTAACAGACAGGCAGTCGGTCCCCCGTCGCTACTCTCACGTACCCCACCCAAAGCAGGGAACATGGCGTGAGAACAGCGCCACCTGTCGATCAGAATGTCCTTCCAAGGAGCACGTGGTCCTCGAGTCGGAAATTAACAAAGACGCCTGGGCCAAATGAGCTTGCTCGAGCTGCACTGATCACTCTTTTCAAACCCATAATAACGTTTTAATACTTCCCAAGGCATCGCCAATCCAAGCATCGGGTCGACACGCACGCACTTAGCTCCAGCAATTGATACTTTCAAACCAGACTGGGACCCAAAGTATGCATTATAACAATTCATAACTTCCTGTTTTAAAAGATACGTTTGTATTTTTTAAAAAGTTGAACTCTAAGCTTTCTAGCTCCCACAAACCAAAATGGTAAAGCCATTGGCATAGGTTTCTTTCTCTCTCCCTCCCTCTCCCCCTCTCCAATTGTGCTGTGCTGAACAATGCTAAAGTTAATTTCCAGTCTTTTAAATATTAACTGGAGGACTACTGGGAATATTTCAGAGGCTGGATCCAGTCTGAGATAGTTCTGCAGTCGCAACACAGGTTTTGTTATTTTGCATTCATTATCAACAAAATGTTGCAGTCTGGAACAGGCCTGTTCTCTATCTAGATGGGCTGATTTGAGGGCTCTGTCTCCCTCCCTCAGGCTTTCCCTACTAAATTTGTTCATAATTCTGCCAACCTTGGAGTTCTCCCAACCCGCTGGTACCTCCCTCTTGTGCCATTCTGACTACAGAATGGTAAGTGCTCAGAAACTGATTTTCCTGAGGAAAAAAGCCTGCGAGGTCTCATGAGCACTCCACAGGTACCTCAAAGGGCATCACAGAGGAGGAGGAAAGACTGCCTCCCACTCATCCCAGAGTGTAAGACAGGAGACAGTGAACTTACAATACTCCTGTTGCAGGCTAGACACTGGGAAGAGCTTCCTAGAGCTTCCTCAGAGCAATGTGGCAGTGGAATCCGTTGCCAGGGCTCTCCACACTAGCTGTTCAGGGTGCTAAAGTTAACTGGCATCCTGTGCCAGCAGGGGGCTTGGACCATTGGCCTTCTTGGCACCTTCTGACCCTACTATTTGATGATTCTGCATAGGTTTGCATCTCTGAATCAGTCATCCACATGTTGGTATCTATTGGGATGGATTGCTTGCATATTCTTAGGGGTATGCCAGCTGCCTTTGACAATGGTAGTTAATGCAAAAAAAAAAAAAAAAGTTGTAAGAATGCAATCTTGGGCTGGATGTTGCAAGCACACTTCCTAAATCCTCAGACATCTGCAGCCAGTTCTAGCCCACTGCTGCACCTACTGCAGAGTGCTGGTACTTACCTGTAAAGCTGGTTGTGGCCCAGAATCAAATGACCTGCTGGGTCACCCATTTTGTGTGAGCTTACCTGCACTGCACACCGAGATGCTGTCTTGGAAGGCCCCCCTTTGCGTTTATTATTTATTTATTTATTAAAACATTTTTAACAGTTCTTTGCCATCACAGATGGGGCAGAAGGTGTCTCACACTGATGCAATACTCACCCCAGGAAACTCACCTGTCACTTGCCCTGTCTTTGGTGCCAGGCAAAGACACTTTCAGGTTAGCATCCTCTGCAGGTTTAGATAGAAGAAAAATCCTGCAAATCCCAGATCTTCCTAATTGAGTCTGCAGAGGATGACACCTTAATCCTTGGACATTTAACAGAGTTTTCTTTCTGGTAACTAGGTTTATTCTGCTCTGCCACCTTCTGTTTCAGATGTGGTATCTGCTGCTATGTTATGGTGTATACATGCATTACTTTTGTTGTATTATTGCTGCATTTTTATTCTGATTATAAAGCCTCCATGGGGAACTCTCTTTGAAGGGTGGGATATAAATACCCTGATTAAAGCAATCATCCCATGCTTGCCCCTTTTTTCTATAACTTTTGTGAACAACCTCATTTTGTGGGTGCAATCTGGACTGAGGAAAGGGTGCAAAGGGGAAAGTTTAATCCTCTTCCTCTCTGTCCTCCCATGTTATTCCTTTTTGTTCATGTACAGCTTAAAAGATGGTGTGTAAGCTGAAATTTAAAATGCATTTCTCCAGGGATGCATATACCACAGGTACACTAGTCAAGGGAGCTTGCTGGATATACAAGCAATAGCAAAGTGTGTGTTAGCGTGGTGTAATTCCTGTCCTCCAGCACCTCATTACTTCCCGTGACACTCACAGTATTCTCCACCTGAGCATTCACCTCACCCTGGTTAATGACAGGGCCAGAGGAGACCATGAGGATATTGGAATCTTAGGATCAGAGACGCAAAACAACTGACTGCATACCAAATACATGTTATCAGTTATTTTTTTAAAAGACTTCCTCCACTCCTTTCCCAAGCAGAGAAATACACAAGCAGCTATTATGAGGTCAGTTTCCTTCACATGAAAGGGCACCACAGGTAGGATGAATCTACAATATTCAGTTTATTTACAAATATACAGGCCGAGCAAAAAGGATTACCTGGGCACAGAAGCAAATACACACGACAGTTCTAGATTCAGTACCGTTATCTCCCAAATTTGCATTCTCCTTTAGCCATTGTTCAGTCAAACCAGTTCCAGTCTTTTCCCATCCCACAATAATGAGTTTTACATCAAGAGCAATCCAAGAACCTGTTACATTCTCAGTGTCCCTGCCTAGGCTGAGATCATGGTTTGCATAATATAAAGGCATGCCACGTGGGGAAGGGGGCTCAGGTCACATCCTCGGGTTTATTCAAAAAGGCCTCCCAACAATTAGCAACTTTCTAAATCCCATCACGCAGTCAGTTCTGTACTGCAGAATTTAAACAGCAGGTACAGAAAACCCCCAAAAAATACCAAGCAAAAATTGTGCCTGCATTCAAGACCTGCAAGTAGAAGCCGTTAATCAGAATGGGCTCTGCTCCTCAGTTGAAATAATGTCGAAGACACTGAGCTCATACTTAGAATCGCATGAAAGCAACAGAATAGCAAGGAGGCAGTCTTGCATCCAGCAAAGAATCCTGCAGTTGCAATTGAGTGAGGGTGCCGAGAATCTAACTACAATTTGCAGGGAAGAGAGAATGGCTTGAGCCATTTTAAATCTCAAGTCCAAATAATCCCATTGACCAAAAGTGGGGGAAAGAAATGCCTAGAACTGGGAACAAACATGCAGTAAAAAAAAAATGCTCCATGTGATGGCAAGGAGGGACCCAGGTAGCGTCTCTGACCAGCGCTGGCTGAGATTCATTCTGCATCTGTTCACCGGTTGCGGAAGAGCTTGGGCAGACGGAGGCCTTGCACCCACCCGGCCGAGGGACCCCGTGGGCAGCTGGTTTGCCACTGTGTGACCGGAGTGCTCCACTGGGTGGACCCCTCGTTTGATGCAGCCTGGCTTTTCCTATGGGCCTAGGTTCTAATTAATAAAAGACTAATTGTAGGATGATGGTATTGGCAAGTTCATTTTGTTCTCGTTGATTTAAAAAATATATGGACAATTATTTTATTTATTTATTTATTTATTTATTAAAACATTTTTATGCCGCCCCATTCGCCGAAGCCTCGGGGCGGCTTACAACAATAAATTATCTACTTTAAATGTTGGCGCAATGAGTTGGATCCAGACAAGCACTGCAGTATGTTGTCTAACCGTTCCGCAGAACTAGTGAGACATCACACGACACTGCCTCTGTCTGTACCTGCATTAAAGCTAGTAAAAGATTCACTCCTGACTCTGGCAACAAGCATTATGAGGCGGAGCAGGGGCTGCCAATCGTGACTCAAGCATCCTGTGCACACGAGCCCCTGCATCCCTGTGGCAAGCGGATTGTGGCCTTGCTCAGCATCTCACTTTCTTTCCAGCACACCTGGGCACATGCCATTTTGTCACTTGTACACAGTGGTCCAAAGGCTGCCACACACTTCTCCTGGCAGTAGGGGCAGCTCACAACTATGTTTTGCTGCTGGGAGAATCCGCTTCCCCTCAGGTACCGTGAGGATCGCAGCTGAGCCTCAGGTGGGCTGCAGAGGACTTCATCACCGCATGTGCATCCAAAGCAGGCTCCTCAGCTCTGGGATCCCTCCTCCAGGGCACCACTGGCCACTAGGCCCTTGGTGGCCACTAGCCCCAGCGAGGTCCTGACGAGCTAATTTGCCACATCTGTATACATAGCTGGCCACTCAAAGCAAAGGTCCCCTCCTGCTCAGGAACTAAGTTTAATGTAAGTAACGGTGGAGCAAACTGAGAAGAGAGGATACATCTTCTCTTTGAACGGAACATTAAAGGTGAAAATGTGCTGCATGTTTTCAGCATTGTAGAAGGACACTTCTTCCCCTTCATAGTCTAAGTAGATTCTAACTTTGCTGAGCCTCTCGGGCAGGAAAATCGGGGTGCGCTGAGGAGTCGTGACTGCCCAGTACCGGCCGCCATTTTGCTGCAATGCCCAGATACCTTCTTCAGGAGAAAACTGAGTCAGCCCCTTCCTACGCACGGATTCCTTGGCCACCCCAAAAGCCCAACCGTCTGCAGCCCCCACCTCCACTTCCCAGTAATGCCTCCCCGACTTGAACCCCTCTGTGGCAAGGACTCTGGAGTTGGTGTCGAAGCGTTTGGGGTTGTCAGGCAGATCCTGTTTCCTGCAGCCCATTCTCACACCCTTCAGGTCAGAGGAAAGGATGAGGAGGTGGTTGGCCGTCTCTGGATCCAGGAACAATTCCTCTAAGAGGCAGGGAAAGTATTAGTAATTAAGTATTAAATTACAACAGGAGAAAGTTCACTCTTTCTCCTGGGATATTTGCTCAGCTCCACCTAAAGATTCTGTAGCAGAAACACAGGAAAGGAAGAGCTTATTCAGCAGCAAAACAAAGTAGATAAAAGCAGTAACAATCGCATGTATAAAAGCTCCAGTTTGGCCAAATGCTAGAAATGTTAACACAGCTATTTTTTCCTTTAACCATATGTTACAGCAACACCTAATAATTGTCTCTTTTGGAGAGAGGGTTATACAGATAAGCCTTTATTGGAACATTCTTTAATATGTACTGGTACACATGTTTGCTTAAATGATGCCTCTTAAACCTACTCCTTAACTGTTAAATATCCACTCACAAGTGCTGCCATT